TCTTCTTGGTGGATATATGATTTCTGAATTTATTTTCTCAGTTGGTAACTTGGTTGCTTTTTATTTTTTTCACTTTTGTGGTAAAGTCTTTTGATGAACTAAAGTTTAAATTTTTATGAGGAGTTTTAAAAAATGCAAATAAAATTTAAGTTAACTATAAATTAGGAAGGGAGTTCTGGTAGCCGGGTTGTAAGTAGTTGTGCTGCCAACCCAAAGCCAGGCAGATTGATTCCACTAGCTGCTCCACAGGAGAAAAATTGGCAGTCTCCTTTCATGCAATTTATAGCCTCAGAAAATCTCCTGGAGCGTCAACTCTGAGTCATTCTAATGACAGCACATAACAGCAATACACAAATTATGAGCTTTGGTGGTATAATATGTAATGTATCATGTTGCTAACCCAAAAAGTTGCAAGTTCAAATCTGCCAGTTGCTACTCTGGAGAAAGATGGGCATTCTTGCCCTGTAAAGGTTTACAGTCTCAGAAACCTGATGGAGGTCACTGTAAGTCAGAACCAGCTCAGGGGAGGTGGATTTCAACTGTAAATTAATTTTTAATTTAATTTAAAATAAAAAAATGAACTCAATCATATGGTTTACTCTGCCAAGAAATTGAAAAATTGAAGAATGATATTGTATGCATAGTTAGAAAGACTTTTAAGATCTAGCTTTGATGTACAATGCTGTGAGTGATAGGATATTATCCCTACCTTTATAAAGAAGACCTAGTAATACAACTGTTATTCAAATATATGCACCAGAAGCCAAAGCCAAAGATGAAGAAATTGAGAAATTCTAACAACTTTTACAGTCTCAAATTGACTAAACATGCAGTCAAGATGCATTAATAATAATTGATGACTAGAATGTAAAAGTTGGAAAGAAAAAAAGTTGGAAACAAAGGAGAAAGAAGGAATGGTAATGGGAAATTATGGATTGGTAACAGAAATTAGGCTGGAGATAGAATGACTGAATTTTGTACATTAAATGATTTATTCATTGCAAATACCTTTTTAAAAAAACAAAAACAAAAAAGGTGACTTTACACTTGGACCTCACTTGATGGTCTGCACAGGAATCAAATTGATTACATCTGTGTAAAGAATCACGGAAGCAGCTCAATATCAGCAGTTAAAACCAAACCAGGTGCTGACTGTGGAATAGAACATCAATTACTCCAATGCAAGTTCAAATTGAAGCTGAAGAATATGAAAACAAGTCCACAAGAACCAAAAAGTGACCTTGAGTCTATCTCACCCAAGTTTAAAAACCATCTCAAGAATTGATTCTGACCACTGGGCCAATTGGCAGCATCAGGATGGATGGTGAAGAGATTGAGATTGTTATAGCTTTAGTTTGCTTGGCTCCACAGTCAACACTCTTGGCACCAGTAGCCAGGAAATTAAAAGGCGCATTGCCATGGGAAAGTCTGCTATTAGGGACCTCTCCAAAGTGCCGAAGAGCATTGGTGTCTCTTTGGAGACTAAGGTGAGTCTGATACAGGCCATGGTCTTCACAATCACTTGTTATGCATCAGAGAGTTGACAATGACCAAGGAGGATAGAAGGAGAATTGATGCCTTTGAGCTGTGGTGCTGGAGAAGAGTATTGAAGGTATCATGGACTGCTAGGAAAACAAACAGATTCATCCTGGAAAGGGTTAAACCGGGTGGCTCCTTGGAGGCAAGAATTCTGAGGCTCCGTCTAACATACTTTGGGCATGTTGTGAGGAGAGACCGGTCCTTGGAGAAGGACATCATGCTTGGGAGGGTGGAGGGACAGCGCAGGAGAGGAAGGCCCTCTATGAGGTGGATTGATTCGGTGACTGGGATAATCGGGATGGGAGTGTCAGAGACAGTGCAACTGGCACAGGACAGAGCAGAGTTAGGGCTGTTGTACATAGGGTCGCCATGAGTCGCAAGTGACTCGACGGCCTATAACAACAACATGTCAATGTATGAACTGTGATGATATCAAAGACGTCATCTTAAAGAATGTGAAAGATCATTACAAAGACAGAAGAGAAAGAAAAGACTAAAATGGCTATCAAAAGAGACTGAAAATTGAAGTAAAAGAGATTGGGACAGAAGGCATCTTGTGAAAAAAAAAAGTATAACAGAATGTACAAAGAGCTGGAATTAGAGAATATAAAGGGAAGAATTTCTTAAGTATTCTTGAAGTTGAAGGAATTGAAAAATTCAAGTCTTGAAGTTGCAATACTGAGAGATGCTATGGGCAAAATCTTAAATGATCCAGGAAGCCTCGAGAGGAGATGGGCAGGGGGATACACAGAGTCACTGTACCAAAAAGAATTGATTGACACAGAAATATTTCAGGAAGTAGTCTGTGATCAAGAGTCAGTGATGCTGAGAAAAGTCCAAGCTGCGTTGAAGGCATTGGCACAAAAACAAACAACAAAGCCCTAGAAATCAGTGGGATACCGACAGACATGTTTCAAATAACAGATGCAGCCTTTGATACTGTATATGCCAGGAAATTTAGAAGATAACTAGCTACCTGGCCAATTGACTGAAAGAGATCCATATCTGTTTCCATTCCTAAGAAAGGTGATCCAACCAGAATGTGGAAATTATAGAACAATATTATTATTACATGCAAGCAAAATATTGTGGAAGATCATCCAAAATGAGCTAGAACAACACATAGAGAACTACCTGATATTCCAGCTGAGTTTAGAATTGGCTGTGGTACCGGGGATGTCATTCCTGATGTCAGATGGATCAGAAAAGCAGAGAGTACCAGGAGAATGTCTGTTTATGTTTTATTGACTGTGCAAAAACATTTGGCTGCAAGGATCATAACAAACTGGTTATGGTGGGATTTCCAGAACACTTAATTGTGCTGAAACCTATTCTTAGACCAGGAAGCTATTGTTCAAACAGAACAAGGGAACACTGCGTCATTTAAAATCAAGAAAGGTATAAGTCAGACTGTATTCTCTCTCCATACCTGTTCAATCTGTGTACTGAACAAATCATTCAAGAAGCAAAACTTTATGAAAGTATGTAGTATCAGGGTCAGAGGAAGACTATTCATTAACAACCTTCATTAGATAAATAGCACAACCTTGCTTGCTGAAAGTGAGCATTTGAAACACTTATTGCAGAAGATGAAAGACTATAGCCTGCAATATAGATTAAATCTCAACATCAAGAAAACAAAGATCCTCAAAACTGAGGCAGTGAGCAACATCATGATAGATAGAGAAAATATTGAAATTGTCAATGATTTCATGTTGCTTGGATCCACAGTCAACATCATTGATAATAGCAGTCAAGAAATCAAAAGATGTATTGCACTTGGACAGTCTGCTATCAGGAACCTCTCCAAAATACTAAAGAGCACCTATGTCAGCCAAAAGATTAAGGTTCACCTAATTAAAAATATAGTATTTTCTGTCACCTGCTGTGTCTCTGAGAGCTGGACACTGAATAAAAATGACAGAAGAAAGATTGATGCCTTTGAATTGTGGTGTTGGAGAAGAGTGCTGAGTGTTCCATAGACTGCCAAAAGAACAAATACATATATCTTAGAGAAAGTGCAGCCAGAGTGCTCCTTAGAGGTGAAGGTGGTAAAGCATCATCTCATTTACTTTGGGCTTGCTGTTGTTATGTGTTTACGAGTCACCTGCGACCCTGTGCCCAATAGCTCTGAACTCTGTCCTATCCTGACCCAGTCTCACTGTCTCTGACTTATCTACTCTCATTACTCCAGTTACTGTGTCAGTCCATGTCATCCAGGGTCTTCCTCTCCTGTGCTGTCCCTCCACCCTTCCAAGCATGATACCCTTTTCCAAGAACTGGTTACTCCTTCGCAACATGTCCAAAGTATGTGAGACAGAGCTTTAAAATGTTTGTCTCTAAGGAGCAACTTGGTTTTACCCTCTCCAGGACAAACCTGTTTGTTCTCTTAGCAGTCTATGGAATGTTAACACTTTTCTTCAGCGCCACAACTCAAAGGTACTGATCCTTCTGTTGTTCTTCGTCATTGCCCAGCTTTGTGATGCATAGCAAATAATTGCAAAGACTGCAGGGTGGATCAGGCGCACCTTAGTTTTCAGACTGACATCATTGCACTTTAGTACTCTGGCGAGGTCCCTGACAACAGATTTATTTAACCCAGTGCAATTCACCTTTTGGTTTCCTGACTACTAGTGCTGACATTGTTATTTGGGGAGGCAAACAAGCTGAAATTTTTAACAATCTCAGTCTCCTTGCCATCTATCAATTGGTGCTGCCAATTGACCTAGTGGTGAGAATCTTTGTCTTCTTAATGTTGAGCTTCAAGTCAAATTGAAAATTGCAGTCCTTTTGTAGCAAATGCTTCAGATTCTGCTCAGTTTTAGCAAGCAAGTTCGTGTCATCTGCATATCACAGGTTATTGTTGAGTCTTCCGCCAATTCTGATGCCCCATTCCTCCTCATAAAGTCCAGCCTCTTAAATGATCTATTCCACACATAGATTGAAGAGGTATGGACTTGTTGTTAGGAGGGGCTGTTCCTTGGAAAGGAACATCATGCTTGGAAAGGTAGAAGGTCAGTGAAAAAGAGGAACATCCTCAATGAGATGGATTCACATAGTGGTTGGAGCAATGAGAATAATTAAGTATATCTGAGATGAGAAGAATGGCATAGGATCAGACAACAAACATAACATATCTGGAGCCATAAGATCTGTAATTTCCTGTTTCTCTTTGTGTCTGCCACATTCTCCCAGGAAAGATACTCAGAGGAATTATATCAGTGTTGCATAATTGTCTGTTGATCAATCAGTGGTTCCAGTCCCTTTTTTTCACTGAAAACAGGAATGTATATGGATTTATCCACAGAAAGAGATGCAAGTAGAATTAAAAACAGTTTGTTTTTTTTTAAAATGTTTGTGTGTTTTCAGAGGCTTAGCATAACTGCCTTACGAAAGAAAATGACCTGTGGGAAGTTTGCACCATAGTATTAGTCTTACCCTGTCTCCTTTCTCTTTTGTAGACGCTGCATTCAGGTAGTACATAAATTACTTTGCTACCAGAAGAAATGTAGAGTACGCCTGCATTACACTTGGCGGGAACTTTGGTCAGGTAACTTTCTCTTTGCAATTTATTCTCTCCTACCTTTTATTAGCCCCTAGACCTGTGCTTAAGATAATAAGATGATACACACCCCCCACCCCCCCAGTCTGGGATGCTTCTGTTTTCATTTGACTTCTTGTTATTTCAGCTCTTCTTTGATTCATATCTGAGTATGTTTCTAGGATACACTGAGTATGTTTTTAGGGTACACTTTCTATCCTAATCCTCCTCCATCCTTTATTTTTTCATTTGATGAAAACAACTGAGTACTTCTTGAGTTCCCTTGAGAGAGAGTGAGCTAGGAGGAGTCAGTACACACTTGGATTGGCCCTCTGTTCCATTTGGTAGCAGCATATGGACTATAGGGAGGCTTCAGTGTTTCTCCTCAAGATGAGTAATCTCAGGAGGAATGTCATAGCAGAGCAGAGCGAGCGGGTGGAGATGGTGGTGGGGAGATGGGGAGAATCCTGTTCTTTGTGTTACATCTGGCGTTATTACTGTTTACAGACAGTGTCGATTGTGCCACTCCCCCTTTGCCAGAGACAAAAACAGTAAATTATAGTGTTTACTTTTATCTTCTTATCCATTTGGTAGCCCCATAAAGTGCCTGCCACCCCTGCAGGCGGGAAGTGGCTCTTCTCTAAGGGTGCAATTAATGCTGGCTTGCCACCCCTTTCTTTTGTGTAACTAAATTGGAGGTTTTAAAAAATCACAAGAGACATGCTTCCTGAGGCAGTTGCTTGCTGATGGGTCCTGTGGCTTTTCTGATCCATGATACAATAACATTTTCTCCCAAAGATTATAGTGTTGAGTGGTTGCCACACCCATGGGAGGACTATTCTCTAGTCTGAGTAGAGGAGGGTATGTTAGTGTCATAGTCTTTATGAAAAACAGGCCAGCATCCCAGCCTCATTCCATGGAATTCATTTTGCTTGTTGTGACATGGTTTCCTCCCAACCCAATTTGGCTTTCTATATTTAGTCTTCCATAATGGGAAGTTGAGATCTTTAATTAATGGATTAGCAAATTCTTTGTAGTTACTGCTTATTGGTGGTGAATGGGGAGTAGAATAACACTAAGTAGCAATAGTGGTTATTTTGCTATTTTAGGAGAGAAGAGTATGTTTTGTGATTTTTGTGGAAGTTGGAGATTGAAGGATGTCAGCAGAGCTAAAGAGAGATTAAAGTGACTAAAGTTAGCCTTATATAAAATCCAGGGAAAAACCAAACCCATTTCTGTTGAGTCAATTTTAACTCATAGTGACCCTGTAGGAAAGAATAAAACATCCCTGTGCAGTTTCCAAGGTGATTATATTTTAAAAAAAAATTCTACTTTCTTCTACCTCCTTCCCATTGCTTTTTAACCTTCCAAGATTGATTCTGTGTGTAAGCTTTTCCTTAGTTTTTTGTAATAGAATTGTCCTTTTGTGACTGACTTTTTTCACTCATCATAATTTGTTCTAGGTTGGTCCATGTTGTGCAGTATGACATGAATTCTAGTTTGTCTTTTAGCGATGCATAATACTCCATTGTGTGAATTTACCAGAGTTTTGTATCCATCCATTGATGGATATTTGGGCCAAGGCTATAATCCTACAGAAAGAGGCTGCAAATCTTTCTCCTGCAGTGTGATAAGTGGGCTTGATCAGTTACCCTTTTGGTTAACAGCTTAGTGCTTAATGGCTATGTCACTAGGGGTTCTTGGAAGTTTTTAGGTAGCAGCAGTCCTTTTTACATAAAGGATTACTGTTGCTAATGGATACTTACTTGATTACCATACTTAAATATTTAGGACTACAGAAAACAAATGCTAACCTGTGGATTTTAGCATAATTGTAGCATTTATAAGAAATTCAAATGGTTTATGCCTGTTGCTGTGGTAAGCTTATACTCTAGACACTAAACAATTGGTTTTACAGTGAAACCTCTGAGAGCTGGAACTCGACAGGATTGATTTATTTTCTTAGGTCTCAAAATGTTTCTGCTTTTGGCAGGGTAGTCTTACTACTTTTATGTGGCTTGCTTTAGGGGGAAATATTTTCATTTTCCATCTTTCACAGGTTTCTGCCATAAAGAGGTTTAGGCTTTCATAGGTTTTACTGCAGTAGTAATTTTTTTTTTGCTTCTTCTGATTCACTTCTGGTTTTATTTTAATGTTTTTATTTCATTTTGGTCGGAACCATTCTACATCCTACTGCTGTGCTCGCCCCCCGCCTTTTTTTTCTCCTTTACGTCAGACGGGTAGTGTGCCTATGTCATAACAAGGCTTAAAACCATGAACCCCCAGTCATCATGCTTATGAACCAGAAAAGGCTCTCCCTCCCGACTTTTATCCCATCTTCATCATGTCTTGTCCTCATCCATGATGTGCTATTTCATTGCCCTTTTTACTTTGCCTTCGACTCAGATTTGTCTTTCTGGACCTCTCCTTACTTTCCTGTCTTCATCTTATGTTCCCTGTCCTTTTGATGAAAGTGACACTTTTATGATTATTAAATAAATGCCTCTTCCATGCTATGTGCTATTGTCATCATTTGTTTTACTTTAACATGTTATAAACCCAAGAATACATTCTCAATATTTTTACTTAAGCAAAGAGTCAAACATACTTGTTTTCCTTATTTTTTTAAGTTTGTGGGACTTGAAATTTCCTCATTCTGGTTAGAAAATTTTAAAGGAAACTATTCATATTCTCTGTCAGCTGACTTTGTCTTCAAGTACCTTCAGCTCTGTTTATAATTGTGTATTATCTTGGAATTGATCAGTGGGCCTTATGAGACCCTTGCTATGTTAAAGGGAGGGGTAGGTGGGTATCATTAGTGTGACTTAGACCATACTTGTTTCTAGGGGGTAGGTACTTGTGCTAGAGTTTTCTGTAAAGTTACTGCCTTTTCACATACAGACTGAGCTCTCCTGGAACCCTACTTCCGTTTGTTAATACGTGGAGGGTACACATGATGAGACGCTGAGCAGCAGGTGTTAAGGAAAGCTGCAAAATACAGCACCACATCTGATGTACTTAGAATCCACAGTAATATTGTAAAAAGTGACTATAAGTGTGCCTCTGGTGGATCCACCCACTCTTAGCTGGCACTGTCCCTCAAATGTTGCTATGTGCATGTGTTCACTCTGCCTTACAGAGTTAGGGATTTGAGAAAGGTGTGTGAGATTCATTATGGCGTGCGTGTGTGTGTGTGTGTGTGTGTGTGTGTGTGTGTGTGTGTATCTATCTCAGATGGCCTAGTGGTAAGGAGTTTTGTTGTCAGCTCAAAGAGAGGTAGTTTGAATCTATCAGCAACTCTGTGGGAGAAAGATGGGCATTCTCCTATGCAGTCTGTATACTCAGCAAATCCACTTTAGAGGGTCAGCAATGAGTTGCTTCCAACTCAATGTGGCACAACAACCTCTTTCTCTCTCTCTCACTCACATACATACATACATACATGCTTGTCCATTTGCCCATACTGGTCCTGTAAACTGTAATTGAAAAGTGAATTTTATTTATAAATAAGATTGTTAAGGCATGTATTATTGGATTAAACATAGACTGAAAAGCTTTTGGGGAAAGACCAAGAAAGGAGTCTGCTACACTTTAAATGCCCGTTGTTGTGTGTTCAGTTCACTTAGCAAACTTATTTTTAGTCTTATGCTGTTTAACTACAGCAGCTTTCTGTTGTTGCTGAGGCAGCCAGAAGTTCTCTTTCTAAATTCTTATGTGGAATTCCTGGGTTTGGTCATATGGAAGAATAAGAATCAGCTATATTAGTTGAGGATTCGATTTCGTCTGACATACTTTCCCCATTGACTGTAACACTGGACTTGAACATATCAGGGATTGTGAGGATAGCAAGGTTCAAATCTGTTGTTCCTAGGGTCTAACTGAATTGTAGCTAACTCAGCAGCACTGAACAACAACGGCTGTTGATTTTACAGGTTAAAGCTGCCACTGTCTATTTATAGGATGCTGTCACCATGGTATCTGAGTACCCGGGGAAATAGACTTAGGTAACTTCAACTAGCATATGGAGAAAAGGAAGTTCAGCCTCTATGCATTTTCCAGCAATCATTTGTTATCACTACATTTTAGAAAGTTCAAAAGCTCTTTCCTGATTTCTAGGCTATCCAGAGCTCCTGATTTCAGTAGAGAATTAGTTACTAAAACCCTTCAGTGATAGATAGGGGGACACTGGGCTGTTAGGATAAAGCCCAAGTGTAATAGTTCTTTACTTTTGAGATGATGAAAGCTTTAGTCTTTTTCCAAGAAAAAATGTTCATTTGCACATGACACCTTTTACATACAATTTCAGGGAGTTCATAGACCTTCTGAAATTCAGTTCATGATCTTATTTTAAGAATCCCCATCATGGAGTCCAGGATGAAGGCTGCATAGTGGAGTGGACTTGAGGGGAGGGATTGCATAACAATGAAAGAGTTTTACTTTTCAAGGAGAAGAGTGAATTGGGGGGCAGGGATGTGCAACAATGAATGAATGGAAACCTTAAGTCTCTGTAAACTCTGTAAACTTTCATTAAAATGAATAATAATAGTAAAAAAGAATCCTTGTTATAATTTTAGGAACTCTTGTGGCATAATATGTTACCTTTTTTCCCTAAATTTTTAAAAAAATTTATTATTTTTTGTGTGTACCGTCAAATCAGATCTGAGTGGTACAGGAGGAGATTGTCCCTCCTTTTCCAGCAGAGAATCTGGTGGATTCGAACCGCGCACCTCTGGGATTGCAGTGCAGCTTGCTTACGACTAGGCCACCACCAGACCTCATCAATATGTTACATTTTGACCGGTGGTATGGAATTGTGCTGTCAACTCAAAGGCAGATGGTTCAAATCCACCATTCACTCCCCAGGAGAAAAATGGATATTCTCCTCTCATGCAATTTACAGCCTCTGAAAACCCACAGGAGGATCAGCTGTGATTTGGTTCTTACTCAGCGGCACGTAAAAACAGCCACTAAAAGATCAGCAGTATGAATCCACTGGCTGTTCTGAGGCA